GACACTCCTGCGCCGCCGACTACAAGAGGGTTAAAAGTGTAGATTGGATTTCACCCCGGGAAATCTAGCACACGGAGTGAACTTGAATCTTTGGCTATTTAAGGAGGACTGGAATTTGTTGTGAAGTTGTGGTGATCCAGGGCAGAGCCCCGTCCTGATTGATTTCATCTTCCTTGAGTCTCAGATGACTGTAAAATGAATAAACTCCTGCGCCGCCGACTACAAGAGGGTTAAAAGTGTAGATTGGATTTCACCCCGGGAAATCTAGCACACGGAGTGAACTTGAATCTTTGGCTATTTAAGGAGGACTGGAATTTGTTGTGAAGTTGTGGTGATCCAGGGCAGAGCCCCGTCCTGATTGATTTCATCTTCCTTGAGTCTCAGATGACTGTAAAATGAATAAATGAAATTATTCCTTTTTGAGGCTTTTCTTAGGGGCTCTCCGGGCAGCGTGTTCTCAAAGCGGAGTCATGATGTATTCTCCAATCTGTCTCACTCAGGTATAGACGCATTTTATTTAATTTATTTGTTTATTTATTTATTTATTTTCACGTGTTTTAAAAATTTTTTTTCATATGTATGTGAGTTGTTAAGGCGTCACTGCTAGTAGTTGTAACGGGTTAAAGCACAGTTGGGACTGCTTGTCAGATCCAAACTCCTCTCGCAGGGGGGAATAGTAGAGAATAAACTGTACCAGGCCATTGTTTTGGGGAGATCCATTCAAAGTGTCACCGTAGACAAATACTGTTAATTGTTGGTGCATAAGAAGTCAAGGGTTAACAAAATGGAAATGAGCATAATTACGCTAAAAAGCAGGTTTGAGAAGTATTGATTTGATTGGAATCAAACGATTTGTTCTCTTTTCAGCTCGCCAGCTTACGCAGAGTCTAATGAAAGGGTTTGAAAGGAAAAGTGCCGTTTTTGACAAAAAACGAGCGCTCGCCGGTGCGAAGTAGTCCCGTCTTACGCTTAATTAATAATGTGTAGCCTGCCAACAGTGAGGGCGATGTGAGAGGGGGTGTCCAAGCTGTGCAGTATTTTCTTGTTCGGTTATGCAGGGGCATGGCATTTGCCCCCCTCCCAGCTAAGTTGCAACGCTCGCGGGCGAGCGTGCATCCTCCCGAGCAAGGGGAAAGACCTAGCCGGGTTTTGCAACCGCACTTGCAGCCGCGTTTCAACGCCCGGACGGCGGCTGTCGCGGGGGCGGCGGGAGGGAGCGGGGCGAAGCCGCGGCCGGCGCCGCGCGGGGCCGCGGAGCGGGGCGCGGCGCGGAGCGCGGGGCGCAGCCCGAGCCGGGGTCCTCGCCGCGGCAGAACGCCGTTTTTGAGACCCGAGGGGTTTAGGGAGCGGGCTTGGGAAGTTCCCCGGGTGCCCCGGGACCGTCCTTGCCGGGCGTACGGTAATGGGGAGCGAGCGCCGGGGCACCGGAGCCTGTTCCGGAGAGCCATCCCGGTCTGCAAAGCCAGAGGATAGTTTTCAGAAGCTTTTGTGAAAGTCTGTCTTAGGAGGATGTGATGTAAACTGATGAAGCGATAACTGCTTGCTTCCACATTGGTGCAACAAATAGCGAAAGAAGCAGAAAACGTGCGAAAGTAACGTCTCCTGCGATACTGTTATTAAGCAGTCGACGATGCACTTCTGGTTGCACGGTGAATAAATAAATACGATTTAAGTTATTCCACAATTAGAAAGCATTGTAATTCAAAAGGACCGAAGTATTCATAAATTGTGAATGAAGATGGAAACAATGATAAGGCTTATTCAGTGATTGGATACAGTCCTGTAGCTTTTTGGCTGACACATTTTTTATTGTTTATATTTTGTTTGGCATCTAAGTGTGATTGACTTAGATATGGATATTTTCAGCAAGTAAATGTGAGCTGCAGTGGAGCAAAGCTGGAAAAGAGTACTGTTGAAATATTTCTTCTTCAAAAGAGAAATGAATGCATGTGGGAAGCGTTTGGTGTAACAGATACGCACATGCTTATAGGTACACACATAGAAATAATTACGTATGGTGGAATCTGCAATTAGTAAAAATTAATTCTGTGTGGGCTGTCCATCCTGTGAAATTACTGACAGGCAGTAAGACCTCTGCACCAGCGTATAAACCTGAGAGTACAACTTAAGAAAGCGGTTTTTACATTGGAAACATGCAAATTTTCACTACTACCTCTATTACAGCGGGTAGTTCATTTTGTTGTTTCCTGCTCTAATGACTTTTTTCCCCATATGTTTGCTTTTTGGACTCACAGATGTAATAGATTTCCTCATTCTGTGCAAATCTGTATTAAAATACCGCACGCAGGTGTATACAAAAACACAACATTGTGCTTCTACAGCCATAAATACAAGAAAGCAATTAATTCCTGGCTTTCGTGTGTTGATAACTTCTCCATAATATTTTGCAATCACGCTGTATCATGTGCCATGCAGAGACAGTTCCCATTTAGTGGTACATACATGGAACACAGTTGCAGCAAACTGATTTTAGTTTGGAATCGTTCTCTACCTATTTGGAATGATAAAGGCATTTTAAAAATCATGTTTCCACTCCATAAATTAAAAATTAAGATTACACTGGCAATGAGAATTTATACTTTGTGTTATTTATTTATTTAAAGCAAAAGATTGATTAATCTTATTTTGAGTTGCGACTGAGTTAAAGTAGTACTGCCAAAATTGTTCTCTCTATTGTGTTCTCCATCTCTAGGGCTCTTGCAATGCACATTGACTGTGGTAGTGTATGCTCAGAAGAAAATACTTCGGTAAAAGTTCTAAACACAGAATACCTGTTTGGACCAAGCTCCTTGCGAAGCAGTAGTTCAGTTTGTGCCGAGACAGCGCTGAAGCACTTTTTAGAAACAAGTCTAAAATCCAAAGTACAGCTTTAAGACAAACCTTGGCAATTCAAATGTTACCTATCACTCTTTCAATAAAAGCTCGGTGGGTGTAAAATAACTCCAAGGAAGAACGAAGACTTAGCAAATGCAATTTAATTTTTTGGGGGTCCTTTCCTCTCCTTCCCATATGCCTCTTTCCCCCTGTTTTGGAATGAGTGTAGACTGCATTTATCTCTCCTGCTGAGGCATGATAGGATGCAGTTACTGTATGCCTTTAAGTGCTTGGTCTCTTGTGATATTTTTGCCGTGGTTTATTTTTATGTTACGGTGGTCCAAGAAACTCAGAATATGTTGCCATTTTCTCTTCCTCCTAGAATATATTGTTTCATTAGGCACAGACAAAATCCATGCAGGGAAATTGAGTACATGAAGTTTTCTGTATAAAATTTCTAGACTTCTGCCTGGTATATTTATTGTATGGTCCTCAGTTCAAACTTGCATGAATTGATAACAAAGTTTATAAAAGTGAAAGATACTAGAAAGGCGCTACATTTCCCCTTTACCTTTTCCAACAGGAAAACCTGGCCTACCTATGATCGTTAGATGACTGGTATTTTTTCCTTTATTTACAAGCCGCACAGATATTACATAGTAGCTTCCATTTTAATTTCAATTGCCAGTGCACAATGGTTCACCTGAGCCATTTGATGTGACATTTGGAAATCTTACCTCCATAAATCACTTCATTGCAAGAGCAACTGTGGCACATGGGTAAGTGCCACATAAAAAAATATTTCAGTTTTGCCTATATGAATATTAATTGGGGGAAAAATAAAATTCTGTAGATGGCTTTTTAGGAGGTTTAGTGGAGAACATGTGTGATTAATTGCAAATCTCCATTTAGGATCATTTTTACGGGCACTTCTTCTTGTCAAGTAATGTTTCATTTGAAAGGACTCCAGATGCACAATGAATCTCTCAAAGATATCTGATAGTATTGCTTCAGAACAGGATGTTCTTTGCTGTTTCTCCTTCACACTCTTTCACATATATTTATATCTTCAGGACTTAATGATATTATGAAAGAAAAGCCTGAATACAGTTTTAAAAAGTTGGGGTTTTTTTGGTGTTTTTTTTTTTTTTTCATTCTTAGAAAAGGAGACATTCAACCACTACAGATTGGAATTTAAAAAGTGGATTTTTTCTCTATACAATTTTCATAGATGTAAAATGCTATACGTTATTATTGGTAATACTATGTGCATTACCTAAAGGCATAGCCATTCCAAAATAGTTTGTGATGTTCTTAAAAATGAAAACTAGATGTGCAGTATTCTAGTAGCGTAGAATATTTCCACATTAATTTTGTTGCCATTTTAAGTAATAAATGCTGAAGTCTGTTTAGATATAGGGGAAATCATTGTATTGGGGCAAAAATTGATTTCACCCAAAGCTGTTCAGCCCCCTGCCTTCGCCCCACCTTTAGTCCCAGCTGTTAGAATTTTCAAAATCTGCAGTAAATCTGTTTTATTCAGTCTAAAATGAATTGTAAGGATTTAACACCGCACAGTCTTTATGCTTATTTTTTTTTAAATTGTATTTGAATACTTCGATTAAGATGACTTCTGTAGAAGAAAAAAAGAAACTTTCTTTAGTAGTTATAATTGAGGGGGAAAAAAAGCATGGCATCAGAAAGCGTATGAAGATAGGGAAGTCTTATCATGGGCTGTGGTTACTCAGAGCAGTATTGCCTTCCCACACAAAGAACAGATTGTGGTTTAACTCTTTCCATGGCCTAGTTTTATGTGCCAGTATAGTATCAGAATTGTTCAAATCTCTGCTGGAAATTACTAATCAGTTTAATTATTGCCTTTGTGGCTCTTTGTCAAGCATCATGCTGCAATGCAATCGTTTATGTCCTCAATTATCTTCCTATATTGTCTCTTCTCTTTTTTTTTTTTTTTTTTTCCTGTGAAGGTAAAATGGTAACAGGTAAACTGCTTGCAACTCTTCTGTTGTTTTCTCTTTGATTTGAGGATAGTTAGAGAAGACAGGTAACTAGACCTAGTGGGGTTTTTTACCATTCAGGAAATTTTGAAGTTTGTTTGAAATTTGAAGATTTAAATACTAAATTATTGGCCTGAAGCTTCTACAATGGCAGTCTGAACTCCGTATAATTGAGACCATTAGTTACACTTTCATCATTTTTACCTAATGGAGTTAATCAGCCTATTGATTAAACATAATTCATTCCTTGTCTAGCAGCGTAGCTAAAATATTAGTTTGTTAAATGTATTTCTGAATGTAATTGTATAAAAAAGGTTCAGTTTTAGTTTGATTGCACCGTGCCACTCAGTATGATGAACAATCTGCACGGTATTTAAAACTAAATATGGCTGCACACAGGAAGAAAGATACCTCCCCTAAGGTCTCCCTTCCAAACCAAAATACAGTAATGTTTGATAAGCAGATCGCGCTGTTTTAAACAGATTTGCTCATGGAAAAGAGGCATTAGTTTTTGGGAAAGGCCTATTTAGATATTAACATCGATGTGTAGGATGGTACTTTAAGCAGACAAAACAAATTAATTTAATTACTATAGGATGTATTTGTAGCTGACAACTAAGCATTACCTCCTTAATGCAATCCATATCGCTGCTAGGCAGAAGATAAGAACTTGCAGGTGAAGCCAGATGACAGAAAGGGATATTTTGGAACTGTAAATAAATTGCATGGATTTCACAAAAGCAGCATTTGACCAGCGGTGCACTCGTAATGTCACTCTGCCACAGCATGCAGAAACACAAAGAATGCAAAGTTTGTGCCAAGTTGCCATTTTTCATTGTACACCTCAGATTGATTTTTAAGGGGTTTAGAATAATTGCCACACTCATGTGATCAGTTAACAAATTAAGTGACTCTGTGGGGCTTCAATACCCACAGTGGAGCTGCCAGAAGAACATAAATGTAATTTTTGTTCTCAACTTCATAAACTTTTATTTTACAGAATTTGGGGGTGGTGGGAGGGAAGCCCGAAGAGCTGAAAGTACAGAAGCTTCTGTTCAGGATTTGTATACGACGCGCTGTGTCTTTTGCCTGCTTTCCCTTACTGTATACTGGTTTCTCTAGTTACCACCACTGGAATGGTGCTGTTTCAGTGCTGGAATGTTGGACGTTTGATAAGAAAATGGATCAAGTTTAATGGCGCATGCTCTTTGTGCCACCAGCAGTCTCTTGCTGAGAGCATGCTCCAAAAGCGGGAACTGTGTGGCATTACACTGAGCATGTATATGCTTTGTGTTTCTGTGCCACAGAGAAGAGAAATGAACTGTGGCATTCGCCTCAGCCTTCTGAACGTTTCTGCTCAGATTTTTTAAAACCTTATAGTGTCCTCTTTGTGCAATGGTACTTTTCTTGCTGTTAGCCGTTCACTCAAATATTTAAATGTTAGAAACAAAACATCTCGATAGCATCTCTTTTAAATAGTGTTATCTCTGCAGCGTTGCAGGATGAAGTGAGGGGAGGCATACAAAATAAAATCTTCACATGGTTCTTTCAAAGGATGAAATATGGGGAAAATGGAAATCTCTGTGTACTTTTTGTCTGCTGCCTGACAGTGGTAGTAATTGCGTAAAAGGTGTTATGCAGAAATTTGCGTAAATTTTAAGTGTTTAAGTGTTTATTCTCTTCATCTTGGATTTCACTTTAAGATTTTCAGAAACCTTTCTTGATACTGCTTTGATTATGAGAACTTACTGACTTCGAGTTTTCTTCTTCTCTTCTTTTTTTTCCCTCCACTTCTTTCCACAGGATGAATTTCACCCGTTCATTGAGGCACTTCTTCCACATGTCCGTGCAATTGCCTATACTTGGTTCAACCTTCAGGCTCGAAAACGCAAGTACTTTAAAAAACATGAGAAACGAATGTCAAAGGATGAGGAAAGAGCAGTCAAGGATGAGCTACTTAGTGAAAAGCCTGAAATTAAACAGAAGTGGGCATCCAGGCTCTTGGCCAAGCTGCGCAAAGATATTCGCCAAGAGTTCCGGGAGGATTTTGTGCTCACGGTGACTGGGAAGAAGCACCCATGCTGTGTATTGTCCAATCCTGACCAGAAGGGTAAGATTAGGAGAATCGACTGCCTGCGACAGGCTGACAAAGTCTGGCGTCTGGATCTAGTCATGGTGATCCTGTTCAAAGGCATCCCCTTGGAAAGTACGGATGGAGAGCGGCTCATGAAATCCCCACATTGCACAAATCCAGCACTTTGCGTCCAGCCACATCACATAACAGTATCAGTCAAGGAGCTTGATTTGTTTTTGGCATACTACGTGCAGGAGCAAGGTAGGAAGCAGATTGTCGTATTTCTATGTTAGTATGTCAAACTCTGATTCCAATTATCCCTGTTTCCCCTATGGGCTGGCTTCCAGTGAAACATTATTCTGTGGTCTATAGACGTAATGTGGGTACATATCCATATGTAAATCAGCATGTATACGTATATACTTACATAGACACACATTCCTACAGACCTGTGTAAATGACATGTATGTTTGACAGAGAGAGCGGGACATGCCAAGGTAGTACTAGTTCTGCTGCATCCCCTTGGAAAGTACGGATGGAGAGCGGCTCATGAAATCCCCACATTGCACAAATCCAGCACTTTGCGTCCAGCCACATCACATAACAGTATCAGTCAAGGAGCTTGATTTGTTTTTGGCATACTACGTGCAGGAGCAAGGTAGGAAGCAGATTGTCGTATTTCTATGTTAGTATGTCAAACTCTGATTCCAATTATCCCTGTTTCCCCTATGGGCTGGCTTCCAGTGAAACATTATTCTGTGGTCTATAGACGTAATGTGGGTACATATCCATATGTAAATCAGCATGTATACGTATATACTTACATAGACACACATTCCTACAGACCTGTGTAAATGACATGTATGTTTGACAGAGAGAGCGGGACATGCCAAGGTAGGACTTTAGTTCTGCTGTAGTTGCCTTTTTTGTTTTGTCAGAAAGTGGCAATATATTACGTAGTTTTTCCAGTCGTGACTTCAGAAAACCTTCTTGTTTTTCAAGTTGGTTTTTTTTTTTAGTTCCCCCAGTACTGTTAGTAACAGATGCAGATATGTGCAATTGTACAATCACAATGAATACTACAAATAGTTGTTATTGTCTTTGTAGTAATAAATAATCAAGAATTTATCCTTAAACTGATGAACCTACTACCACGTTGAAGAGCCATTGTAGACTTTCTCATGTCTATAAAATAAAACGTGAAAAAACTTTAGCACAGAAATACTGCTTCGTAAATACCATATGTAGTCAGAATTACAGCATACAGTACTTAACGTTTCATTCATACTTTACATCACTAGCTCATCTTACCTATCTGAGCTTTAAAACAAAGATCCAGGTTGTAATATTTTGAGAGAATTTTCCATGAAAAGTATATTTTCATAATCACACTCATATACTTAATTTTATTTGGCAGATGATTGAAATGTGGAAAATTGCAGGTACACTATGGAAAAGCTTCTTAAGCTTAGTTTTACAGAATGAAAATAAAAACAGGGCTTCTGATAATCATGTATGAGGGAAGAAACTGCTAGTCATATTGCGTATTCAGATAACAATACTCATATAACCTTCAAGGCAGGTTCCCCGAAATTGTAAATGGCTGTAAGTAGATAAAGGTTTTTTTCTCCGACACTAAGCCTTCTGAAATGCTTTTTCTCTGTGAGGGGTCATTTTGGTTCTTTCTGGTGATTATACCATCCTCTAGACGTCTTTGTATTGCTGACTGATCAGCAGTAATAAAGCATTTCTTTTTTAGCCGCAGATCTCAACTAGGGAAAGTTTGATCGGCCGCAGATGGTGGGCCATTTCACAACTTGGCCTGGTAGTAGGCAGAAATGGCCTGCAGAAGGGCAGATGGCAGGCTGTTATCTGATGCCTGATACATAACTGCGGGATTTAACTGAAAAACAAACAGAATGGATTTTGTTAGTAACAAAAAAGTAAAATTGCACATGTCTTCATTCAGTGTGTACTCCTTCTTTAAAAGAACAGATACACAACACAACCTTTTTGTTTTCAGTGAATTTGTCTTTTAGCATTTACTCACACAAGTGGAGCACTATGTTTACGTGAACATATAAATAGGGTTCAATTTTTTTGATTCTTCATCATGAAAAAATACGTTTCATTGTTTTGTTTTGGTTTTTTTTTCCCCTGCTTGTATTTGTGTATTTTTCTCTCCACAGCAGTAGACAACACTTAGATATTTTGCAGCGACTTTAAGTAGCTGTGGAGTCTGGTAAATCTGGTCCCCAGTAACATAGGAAGAAAGATTTCTTTGATAGCATTAAACAAAATAGCTTAATTACAAATAATTTGTACCTTTAAGCTCCTTTTGTGAAGAAAAATTCAAATGATATTTTGAATGCATATATTGCAAGACATAGCTTACTGATTAATTCTAATGGATTTACCTGTCTCTAAAAGTCAAACCTACAAAGGGAGGCAAAACAGTTTAAGTAGCTCTTGAGCCGAAGAAGCTGGGGTCAGAGTACTCTTACACACTGTCGACTTTTAAGTTGTTGGAAGCCAGTAACTTGAAGTGGGAGAAGGAATTGCAGGGCATAGCTGATTTTATTGATTTAAAAGGATTGAGAATATGAGTTTATTTAAAACACTTGTCTAATCAGAAATGAGTAAGATAAGCATGCTGTAATATTATATCTTTCAAAGTTACACTATGCTACTTTGAGAATATACTGGAAGATGAAGCTGGCTAATTTCTGTGTACCAAGTCACCCTTAGTAGACCCTTTTGTTTATTGTAAACTGCATGTATTTTGTATCTGTCTTGCTGCTTCACAGTAAATCTTCCGTTAACATCTGTTGGCTCTCTTCTTGAAGAAGTCATATTAAGTTTTCTTTGTATTTTTTTTCCATTTTGTCAAACTTTGATTCTCTATCTTCATTGAAAGCAGGTTAATTGTGGCACTTTGTAGTGCACTTGATTAAGAGCACCAGGCTTTGCAAAAGATAAGCATGAAGTCAACCAAAACGCTGCATTTTACACATGCTGTTTTGCTTTTTATTTCTCTTTTAGAATATATAAACCTGCCTAATAGTATCATGTAAAAAATAAGCGGAGACATAGAAACAATTAAATCCCTGAATGAAATATGAAGAAGGAATTGGCACATAAAATGAAAAAAAGGGCCAAGTAGTTTGGTTTTTTGTTGCTTTAAAAAAGAAGATTAGGGGGAAAAAGAGGAGGAAGGATAGTTTGAGAGCCAGTGATGGTTGCCAGTGGCACCAGGATTGGCATCAGACCTTCTTTGTTTAGCCTAGGATGCCTGTGATTTGTTGGTTGGCATCCGCATTGCAGTGCAGAGTAATGTTACAATATATTGACAATTTCCAGATCTAGAAGTGTCAATAATCCCTTCAGTTCTTAATAAAAAGAGCTTCTACTTCCATGCCTGCCTTGAAAGAAGAAATAAGGACCGACCTATGAAGTTCTGTCATTGACCAACTTCATCTGGTTCTACTTTTCGCTCATCTCCCTCTGAATTCAGCATCTTATTTTTTCCCCTATTCCCTTTCTACTATCCTCTTGTGCTTTAGGATCTTAAATAAAAAAAAAAAAAAAAAGAAAAAGGGGCTTGACATAGGTTGCAATGTTGCTCCTTTGACTGAAATGGAGGAAGAAAATGGGAAGTACACACTGTGATCAATGTTTAACATCAAAATAATTCTTGATCTTAACACACTTCTACGGGGCTCTGCTTGTTGTGTGCATCAGGTCCACCCCCCCATCGAGTTTTTAAAAAGCTCAAACCTTGAAAATGGCATGAACGTTGTTTCTATTGACAAAACTGCCTTTTTTTTTTTCTTTTTTTTTTTTTTTTTTTTCTGTCAGGCATCTGAGAGTGTCTATCGTTTGGTATGAAACACATCTCAGTCCATAAAATCATTTGATGGTATTTGATTCAGTGCAGCGCTTATGCTGTGTTCCCGTTGCTACAAGAACCGCCATTTTGTTTGTCGAGTGCCAGGAGAGGGGAAAAAAAAGGCAGACAATGTGCTTGATGCCAATAATGGTTGCCAGTGGCACCGAGGTTGGCATCAGACCCTCTTTGTCTAGTTGCTGAATGCCTTTGATTCGTTGGTTGGCATCCGCATTGCAGTGGGCACATTGGAAAGTTTTTGACAATCAGTGAATGAAAGCTGCAGTACTTGTTTGCTGCAACAGAACACAGATAATATAAATCCCTTCTTCTGATACGTGTTTTACTTACTCTTACAATGGCTAATTAAAAAAGAAAAAATTGCATTGCTGTCTTTTCTAAAACATAAAATATCTATAGCAATGTGCCTCATCTGCAGAATTCCTTATCCCCGCGTCATCTCTGCCGTTTTTTGCGGCATAAATAAAATGCAAACTTGATGTTAGGTATTTCAGCACATACTGAATGAAGCATAGTAGACCTTCAGAAATGCTTTGGGAGTTTAAAGGACTGAAGCAATGGTACATGTAAATGGTAGGTGTTTTTAATGCATGTGCCTCTCAGAGTACATTTCGCAGATCAGTCATGTTACTGTTTACACTTTCCTTTGTCCTTGTGTAAGAGTGATATAATTGGGGGAGCCCGCATCCTCAGCTGTTAATAAACTCTGAAGTTGAGGGAGGGGAGGATCTTTTAAACTATCTAAGAAGGAGGGCAGAAAATAGATGCAGATGTCTTTAGTCTGGTACTGTTCAGGCACTCTTGTTTTTTTAACTTCTTAAACCATCAAGATACTGCTGCAGTTCCAGCTGCATGACTTTGTTACCGGGAAATCAGCAAAAAGACTAAATCATTTCTGTTGGAAGTTTCCCAGGTAGTTAGCATTAATATTGCTTTCCGGTTAACTGCTATTATCTCGTTAATTAATAAGAAGGATTAGCAGCTCTACCCAAAGGGCTGCACAGAAGGAAGCCTGGCCTACGTGAGTCCCTGAATCGCCAGACTGTGTCCTGTCTCTTGGGGGGGGTAGGGGGAGCAGGGGAAAAAAAAAAGAAAGGAAAGAGAAAGGAGAAGAGGGGGAGAGCGAGGGCGCGGGCTGGCTTCTGCAGCCTCCATAGGGGAGAACTTCGTGTGCAGGACCCTCCTGCCGCGCCTCCGGGACGTTTGCGGGACCCCGGCGACGGGGGCGGCTGCGCGCTGGTGCTGCCTGCACGCCACATGCCTCCCGCCAGCAGCCGCTGGGGCGAGGGGCGCAGGCCTACCCGATTTTTGGTAGCGTGCTTTGTACTGTTAATAAGTGCGTTTTCAGATAAGCTCAGCTGGGGCGCGGAGTGCCGCATCTGCATTGATTCAAAACTGTTTTTACCCTAGCTTAACGCCGGCAAACTGGTAATCCTTAACTGAACGGGGATATCGCTTTTTCACTTAAGACGGTCCTGGCAACACGTGTGCACTGTCTTACTTTGAAAAATGCGTCCCCCTTCCAGGAGGAATTGTGATTCTTTTTTGAAGATGATATATCTGAATTGCAGGAGTGGGTGGGTGAACTCTTGGTGTATCAATGACTTGATCTTTTTATTAAGCTTGTTGAGTTTTGTGAATTTATTTTTATAGGGAGCTCAAAATTTGAAATAGGTTTGCGTAGTCATTTTCATGTTATACTTTAGTTTTCATTTAGTAAGTATAGAAAGTTTATAGTAATATTATAACAA